AGGAGAAGGGATTGCGGCGTGACCATTCCCCCTGGGGGGTGATTTCTCGCTTTCTGTCTCTATGTCTCTCTCTGTCTGTCTGGCGAGCACACGCGCCCTATAGCAAAAAAAAAACTCTCCAAAAAAAAAAAAAAAGGAATAGTATTAATTTGAAGAGAGAAAGTTTACTCTTTCTTTTCAAAAATGGTTGTCTAGAAAGTCATTTTTAGTGGCATTTTTATGTTTTTAAAATAATTGTACATATTTTGGGGGTGTATTATTAAATAGGAGGAAAAAAGTCTATCCTCACACTTAACATACGTATCATATCTCAATAGTATTCATACAGCAGAAATTTGTGACAAGACTTCTAGGCCTGTTTAGATAAGATAGCAAAAAATCAAATAGAAATTTTTTTAAAAGGAAAAATTAAAGTTTTTTTTTCTATTAGCATTGACGGCCTTTGTGAGAAGAGGGAGTCTATACAAAATAGTAGGTTAAGAAACTGTCAAACTAAACAGATTCTCAGAGAAATATAACTCTACTGCAGAGATAATGGCTTGTTCTTACAGTTACTGTTCAGTTCCTTAAGTTTGGTATCTCATTATATCATTCAGAACATCTAACTCACATTGAGTTTTATAGTCACTGAAGTATTTTCATAGCTCAAATTATTTTTGTTGAACAAAAGTAATCTAGTAAAAAATTGAAAGGGGACAAAAAGATTTGTCTAAAATAATCATTGCTGGTTTAAGACATGTGCTCTAGACTCTATTAGTAAAGTACATATATTTAAAAATAGTGAATAGTAGATCCTCAACTAATGTAATCTTTCATGGAATATTTGTTGTCATGTTCCATGTAGATAATTAGATACTTAAAGATGACATTCTACTCTCTCTGTCAGAGGGGGTGTCTATGTCCTCCAGACTAGCTGTCTGGATGTTTCACCAAAATATAATATTTTAAATTTAAAATTTTTAAATTATTATTTTTATTTACATAAAATTGACATATGTCTTTATGGGCTACTATATGTTTTTTAAGGCATACAGTATATAATAGTCAAATCATGGATACACATACATATTCATCTTCTTCAGCATTGAACATTATACTATGGTATACACGTTTGCTAATAGTTCTATTAAATTTTTTTACAAAATGTATTAAATTGTCCATATTTTTTTACTCTGCTGTGGTACATCATTCTGTAGCCTCTTCCCCTTACATGCATTCTTGTGTCCATTAAAATTTTTCTCATTAACTTTTTTTTTTTGGAGAGGTTTTTGCTATAGGGTGCATGTGCTCGCCAGAAAGAGAGAGACAGAGAAACAGAAAGTGAGAAATCACCCCCCAGGGGGGTGGTCACACTGTAATCCCTTCTTCTTCACTCTCCTCTCAGGATCTTGGGCACAACACACACGCGCGCGCACCTGGTGTGAGTTTAAGCCACTGGGTCTGGGACTCAAACTGCGGTCGACTACATGGAAGTCCAGCAACATAACCATTACACCACTTGCTGGTCCCATTTTCTCATGAACTCTCTACATAACCTCCTCCCTCCAAGCAACTTCCATGATTTACCATTACTCGCTCCATTTGTATGCATTTGAGCCCTTTAGTTTCTACCATAGGCTATAGACATTTGGTAAATGTTAAGTGAAGACATAAAAGTATTTGTCTTTCACAATCTTTTTTTTTTTTTTAACTTAGCATCATAGTTTCTAAGTTCATCCTCTTGGTATCGAATGACAGGAGTTTTTGTTCTTTATGGCTGAGTAGTATTCCATTGTGTATCTGTGCAACATTTTCCCAATCCATTCATTTGTTGTTGGGCACTTAAGTTGATTTTATGACTTAGCTATTGTGAATAATGCTGCAAGAAACATGAATATTCAAATGTGTCACCGATTGAGTGATTTCCTGACTTTTAAGTATATACTCAATAGTAGAATTGCTGAGTTATAGTATAATTCTATTTTTAAATTTTTTAGAAACCTTCATACTGTTTTACATACTGGCTGCACAAATTTACATTTATAAATTTGTAACAGCAATATACAAGGGTTCCCTTTTCTCTGCAATCTTAACAGCACTTGTTATGTATTTTGCTTTGTTTTGTTCCGTTTTGTTTGATCACAGACATTCTGTCTGGGGTTAGGTGATAACTCACTGTGGTTTTGATTTGCATTTTCCTTATGATAGAGATGTTAACATTTTTTCATATGATTTTTAGCCATTCATATGACTTTCTTTGAGAGCTGTATGTTCAGATCAATTGTCCATTTTTATCGTATTTTTTGTTTTGTTTTGTTTTGTTTTGTTTTGTCAGGTTCACTGTTTGAGTTCCTAATATATTATGATTTTCAAACCAGTATGTTTTGCAAGTATTTTCTCCCATTCTATGAATTGTCTTTTTGTATTTATTTATTTATTTATTTTTCCA